CAAATCTCTTTGGAGGGCTTCTCTGCCTTATCTAATGTGCATACCTGACTGGAAGACAATGGAGTATAGTCTGCCTCATTTACTTAAACACAGTGTTAGTGGTTTAGACTATGAATAGGCCTTTGCAGAACCAAGGCCAATAGAGTAGGCATTTTTAAGTATTCTTAATGACACGGAGATATTCGAGTTCAAAGGTTTCTGTTGTTTTAGTTTTGTTTTACCCATGTTTGCCTTATGGGTACAGGAGTAAATTATTAATTTAGTCTGTAAGTGCTTAACATTTTAATTTAAAGAAATGTATGTAAATTTTGCATTATCTGTCTTTCAGCAGATAATTAAGAATTCTTTAAAAGATTATCAAGTACCTCATTTGTTGTGTATAGATTTCAAGGAGCTTTTATTCCATTACACAAATTTGAGTAGTTTCTCAAATGTGCCAATTTTATCTATAGAAGGTTCTATTATATATGTTTAGTATGTGGCAGCAATTGAAATGTTTGCTGTACTAGGACACTTTTACTTAATTAATTACATATTGAAATTTTATCCATTATCATGTGCCTTCCTACACTGTTCTTTGCAGACAATGATCCTGCAGTTGTTCTCACTAAACTTACTTTCGACAGGTATATCATGTCCTTGCAAAGGAAACAGAGACAGGAACCATTCTTTGAATCAAGAAACAGAATAAAACTAAGGAAGTAGTATTTGAGCAGTTTGTTTAGATTGTAATTTTTACCAGGCATTTTGAACTCAGGTGTGGTTGTGCTGGGCCCGTGCTCTAGGGGAAGGGGAGAATATGGAAGTGATTATGCTAGTAAAAAAAGGTATCTACAATAGAAAATCAGGTTTACTCATGCAGATTTTAAAGGCTAGCTATGTGTGTATGTGTTTGCAGACTGCTGAAGTTTATTTTAGATTCCTTTGAGGGAAAAGTTCCTATATAGAAAGCAAACATAAAATGTCTTGCATTTCTTTTAATTTCTGAAAAGCTTCAAAAATACTTAAAAGGAATGAGTGGAGGGCATCAGAGAAGATGGAAGTCTGATATTTTATTGCTGTAATCTCCTCTAGGCCTTACTTCAAACTCATGATGTAGTGGCACATGAAGTTTACAGTGATGAAGCGCTGAGAGTTACACCTCCTCCCACCTCTCCATACTTAAACGGAGATTCTCCAGAAAGCGCCAACGGCGACATGGATATGGAGAATGTAACACGAGTTCGACTGGTGCAGTTCCAGAAGAACACAGATGAACCAATGGTATGGAGGGAACCTCAGTACTTGTCTTGACTCTCTACTGGTAAAGACCAGTATTATAATGATTTTAATGACAGTTTCTGCACTTTGAAGTAAAGTAGCCAGTATAATGGGAATAGTTCAGCAGCCACTGTAGATACTTGTCCTGCTGTGTATGTCCTTAGCTTAAAATGCTATGTGTGCATTCATACTACTACTGCACCACTAGACCTGGTTTTGTTTAGAAACAACCTTGTAGTACTTACAGCAGATTAGGCTTTAAACCAAACTGGGCACTTTGCACTGCAGTACAATATTATATTTTTAACAAACCAGAATCTTACATGCTTATATATTAAAGTATTGCATCTTCACTTATAAAGAGTGCCTGTTTTCACCGCTTATTTTTAAGTAAGCGGCAAAGTTTTTATTTTAACCTTAAAATTTATACCCTGCCTTCAGGCTTTTAGGCAAAGTGACTGTTCGTATCCGCTCAAGAATCACACTGCTGATGTTTGATTTTAAAAGTATAAACATGTCTTTCTTCTAGGGTATCACTTTAAAAATGAATGAGCTGAACCATTGCATTGTGGCAAGAATTATGCACGGAGGAATGATTCACCGGCAAGGTAATCACATGTCATGAATAGTTTTGTCTTCAAACACAATTATTTAGAATATTTTGTACAAACTGTGTAATGGTGCATACTCTTTTTGATTGCTACTGTTCCATAGTAGTGTACCCCTGTGTCTGGACGGAACCCTGTTAACTGGCTTTGTTACCTTCCAGTTGCAGTTGTCTGACAGTGTTTTGAGATGAGAGCCCACTATGTTTCATTTAGCTTTCAGTTAGGATAATGGGAGTATAGCTCAGTAAGAGATTGAAATACCAATAATTTCTGGAGCTGTAGTTATTTAATCCTCTGTTTGAAAAAAATCCTTAGATTAGTTACAGTTCTTTTTCTTTGCAAAAATGAAAAAACTTTCTTCATAAATTTCTCCATGTATTTTCACACAATTTTTGAGGGTCTTTGTAGTTTTGATGTTGAGGCATCTAAAAAATTTGTGAATAAAAATATTTCTTGTGCCTAGAACTCAAATCTTTATTTTCAGTTTTCACTACTGTAGCAAATGCAGCAAACATGCATATTTTCTCATCTCCAGTCTACTGCTTCTTTCCATTTCGTCTGTCCAGATCAGATGTCAAAAAATAGCTGGGCTTTGTCCAACTTTAAACAGATGAAACTTCCCTGCTAGGTTGTTAGCTGCAAGTTTGGATTGCACACTTTAAAGGGTTACTTTATTTTTTCCAGTTTGCCATCTTTTTCTTTTGATGAAAACAAAAATTTTCACCATTATCAGACCAGAGTTCATTCTATCCTATTTCATTCTAGCCTACTGTTCTATTTCAAAGGCAGGCAGGAACAGGTAATTAGAAAGACAAAACATAAAACAAGGAAAAGGGTACAGCATTCCTCTCCCTGATATATTCACTTCATCTCTTTGATATGATCAAACCTGTCAAGAAACAGGAAAGATAAGACTTAATACAAGCAAAGATGCAATTAATATAAACTTCTATATTCCTTTAAAGGACCCTCTGACTTGAAGTTCACTGCTTCATTCAACATACCTATATTTAGAATATTTTTACTGAGTAGAACAACATAAATGTAAGTTGACAGTGATCTCAAGCACAATATGTTTTTGAATCCTATTGACAGGGTCTGGCTTCTATTTGTTTCGGGTTTTTTTACCTTGTTGTTTCTGCTGTCTCCTCTTGCTACATGGAAAACTGCAAGGCAATAACAGCAATGACTAGAAAATAGATCTACTGGGAGGGTTACAGGAACTGTATAATTTCAGGTCCAGCAATATTAAGTACAACCTGTGCAATTCCCAATTGCAAAATAGTAGCTGCTATGAAGTCTGTCTCCTGTTTCTATGCCAGCTGTATCCAGTTCTGCTGATTATAGTTGTCCTTATTTGAAAGGAAGGGGACTCGAAGTGGGAAGATAGGCTTGTAAAGATGCTATTTACTTGCACATTCCAGAGGATTCAGCTAAATGAAAATGAAACGCCAGTTTCAGTCATTTAAAATTGTATTTTTGTTGACTTGTCTGCTTTTTTAGGATAAGTAAATGAATTTTATCTTAGATCTCAGGCTTTTGATTATGTCTTGGATTTCACCTTTGTGGCTGTGACTGAACTTAGCTCAGTTGTCCATTTGTGGTTTGTTTAGATTACTCATACTGTAATTATTTTCAGGGGATCTGCATATAGGCTGAGTTCTCAGCAGCTCTTTGTATCTTAACCCATAGGTTTTTTGCTGCTGACTGGTTTTGGGGCATACATGCTTAAATGTGAATTCATTCTTAAGATGCATATAAGAAGAGGTCCCAGTATGGCATTTAAAAATATTTCCAAAGAAGAGAGAGGACTTACTGGCTGCCAATTTAACCTCACCAGAAAAACAGCAGTTGTACATTGTCTGTGCTACATTCTTGAAGTGACTACTGTAAAACTCACAACAGTTTTGAAGACACTGCTACCCTTGATAACTTTTATTTGATTTTAAAAAATGGATGTGATTACTTGGTGAAAATATGATTATACATTCGCAGCCTTCACTGTCCAAGCTACAGAATTTTGTTTTGGCTACAAAACTTGTTTCCGAATAGGGACTCCAAAAATTTGTTCTGTCTTCTTCCTAATAGGGTAGGATTTCTCATACTTCTGTGCAGAGCAGGAGCACACACTTCCTAAAACTGTCTTCACTCTGGCTTGCAAAAACAAAGGAAATTGTTTACTCTAGACATCCATTCTTTGTTATTACAGATGTGTTCTACTTCAATAAGTCATTAATAGCTTACATTCTAAACACTGCACTATCATTAGAAAAAGAACTAAAAGTGACTAAAATTAGATGGTTAAGCATAGGTATCACGGGAGCTACAAATGGTACAGGAGACCCATTACTGAAAGATGTCAAGAATACGCTTTTCCAACAAGAATATTTATAGAGAGTAAAAAGCTTCTGCAGATAATAAAAGTCTCTTCCCTCAGGTTGAAAATGTCTTCCTATGGTTTATCAATACATCCACTCCCTAAAACGGAATGACCATCTACTGCTAAATGTCTATGCTTTATTCTCAACTTTTATCTATCTGCTCCATTCCAGGCATGAACAGAACAATATTCATTTCCATCAGAGTAACAGAAATGAGAAATGCTCCAGAAGAGGGGATTTTCTTTAAGTGCACTATTGAAATTATTTGATTCAGGGATATTACTAAGTCTGATTCATTCATTCATTCATTCTCATTCTAATATTTAGTTCTGTCAGATTATATTTTGAATAATGCCAAAGAATTTTTGTACTGTTCCAGGGTAAATGCTCTTTCTGATTCACTATTATTGTTTAATAACAATTGCACTCACTTCAAACACAATTTAATTTTGACATGGTACAGTCAACAGAGTCTTTTTTTTTTCACAGTTTTTTTTTAAGAATTAGGTATTGAATGCCTTCCTGAAAGAGCCTGCCAAAACTGAACTTTCAAAGTGTTTTGCTAGAGATTTGGTCATTAATATTCTAGATGTGAGCTAGATTAATTCGAAATTCAGATGCAGGACTGTTGAATTCACATTCAGTAAACTATTACTTGTAATAGTTTTTCGACTGAAGAAGAATTGTGATGAGTCCTTTTTTATAATTTCACTATCAGCAGATCCGCTTCTGTAGAACTGTTTGGAGCATTTAACGTGGCAGAAGGACTGACTCTTGAGAGTACTAAAAGTTTTTGTAAACTCTGGCCTCTCTCCTGTAACACTGGCAAGTGAGCTTCTGTTTCACAGAAGAGAACCCAAGGGGAATCATAGCAACAGAGCTTTTCAGTATCCTTCTTCTTGGTTTAGGCTATGCTTGTGTTTAGCAGACACACAGTTTGATTTTCGTACATTTGTCCAGCTTAAAGTTTTACTTGCATAGAATTCTTTGGAAAAACTTACTATTTTTGTTTGGAAAAAATAATTTTAAGGATTTCTCAGGATTCTAGTTGATTGACTTTTCTCGGGTAATTTTCCATAAATATAGTTCAGTTTAGGAAATGTTTGCTTGCCAGTTGCTGGTTTTCCAAATAAGGTTAATTATATTAGGTACAGTAATTGTGTTATATACAGTATTTAGAAAAGAATACTTGCACAAATTATTTAAATCATAGAGCAGAAAGAAATCTATGTGAAGTAAATGGTCTTGTCCTGTTTCATTATATATGAAAAACATTTTCTGGCTAATGATAAACCATAGATGAATTTTTTGGAGAACAGCTAGAGAATTAGGTGGGCTTGAGCTACTCAAGTCAGAAATTATCATCCAAAAAGAGCCTCCTAGGTTGCTTCTAATCCTGAAAAGAACTGACTCATTCACTGCCTCCTCCCTGTTGAGCTTTTGTAGTAGAGCCATGCTGTAGCATGCCATTCCCATCCTAGCTTCAGCAGGTCAGTTTATGGCTTACTTAAGCTAAGTAGATATTTGTTCCATCATCTGGCATTATAGATAGTCACACCAATCATTTACATTCAAGCTGAAGTCAAGTGTACATACAGAAAATGCTTAATGGCAAATCAAAATCTGAGGAGTGAAAAAATACAGCAGTCTGACAGATAAAATTAAGACTATGTCCATAAGCCACACTGCATTAAGTAGTCATCTGATAAAATACTGCTTGAATATTTCTGCTGAACGTTTCCATCTGACTAGTTGGCAGGTGGCTTTCTTTTCAGTGTGTAGGGTTTTGCAGTGTCCTTGTAACGGGCTGCTGTTTTCCCCATGTACTTTAAATGGGTGCCTGGGCATCTCACGCTGGTGTCTTGACTGCACTCTGAAAGACAGATTCATGCACTTTGGTAGCTAATACACAGCTATGGAAGTCCTTTTCTGAATCTAGCCAAACAAGTTAATTTAATGTTGCTTCATATTTATGCCTTTGTATGAATATTATTACTGTCTTACAGTTATCTCAGTTTCTAAAAACATGTTTGAGGTGATTGTGTGTTTTGTTAACTCCACAGGTACGCTACATGTAGGGGATGAAATCCGAGAAATAAACGGAATCAGTGTGGCAAATCAAACTGTAGAACAACTACAAAAAATGCTTGTAAGTGCCTGAAATCTTTCTGATGTTCTTTATAGAATCATGGAATCATTAAGGTTGGAAAAGACCTCTAAGATCATCAAGTCCAACCATCAGCCCAGCACTACCATGCCCACTAAAGCATGTCCCAAAGTGTCACATCTACAGATTTTCTTAATATCTCAGGGATGGTGACTCTACCACTTTCCTGGACAGCCCGTTGCAATGTTTGACCACTCTTTCAGCAAAGGAATTTTTCCTAATATCCAATCTAACCCTCCTCTGGTGCAACTTGAGGCCCTTTCCTCTCATCCTATCACTAGTTACTTGGGAGAAGAGACCAGGCAGTTGTAGAGGGACATAAGGTCTTCCCTCAGCCTCCTTTTTTCCATACTAAACAATCCCAGTTCCCTCAGCTGCTCCTCATAAGACTTGTGCTTCAGACCCTTCACCACCTTCATTGCCCTTCTCTGGACACGTTCCAGTGCCTCAATCCTGTAGTGAGAGGCCCAAAACTGAACACAGTATTTGAAGTGCAGCCTCACCAGTGCCAAGTACAGGGCCTATCTTATTTTAACAAAACTTCTAAGTAATTGCATTGTGCATTCCCCTTTTTCTTCTATTCTTGATAGCCTACATATGCATGTAGCATAAAGTCTTCCTGTGTTCATCTGTTAAAGCCTTCTTCAGGCTCTCCCCTGATTTTTAGTAGTGGCTTTTTTGCACCCAGGAATTGTACAAGGCATCTCCAGGTATAGTTTTATTTATTCCATTTAGTCTCATAGGAAAGATCATCGACACCCAACCATTCCTGACAGATGTATGTTCGACCAGCAACTAAAAAAATTGAGTAATGGAGGTTCCCCAAATTCTCCAGGCAGTTGACTTCAGTGTAGAACTCTTCTGCATTTTAGAAAGCTTTTTTCTAATGTCTGATTTTCCTTTGTTGAAATGCAGGAGTTTCTTCTCTTGTCTCTGGTGTACATAACAAAAAAAGTACTGCTTTCCTCTTATTACTCATTCCAAGTTAGTCTATTAAAATAAGACTATTAATAAGACTATTAGTCTATTAAAATAATCTTTAATCTTGAGTCTACATCAAGTGTATTCACTGAGTATGCTATGAGTGAAAATAAACGTTTCTTGCATGTTGGTATAATTGCTACACAAATAAAAAGACAATATATCATAGAACTATTCAGGTTGGAAGTAACCTCAGGAGGTCTCCAGTCTAATCTCCTGCACAAAGTGGGGTCGACTTTGAATGCAGCCCAGGTTGCTCAGGTCTTTTCTGGTTAAGCCTTGAAAATGTCCAAGGACAGAGATTTAACAGGACAGGTTCCTCTTTGGGCAACTTGTTCCAATACCTAATTGTCATCATAGGGAATAATGTGTTCCTTATGTAGCTTATATGTGGCTCACTCCAAGATCACTTGAAGTGATCTGCTTACCTTTCTGCCCAAATCAAGTCCTGCAGTTGTCAGCCATGTGGTTGCACTTATATTCAAACTATCATTTAAGAAAATATGGCTGAGCAAATATTTTGCCACGATCTGCTGCTATTCTGCAATTACTTTTTTTATGAATATTCTTATACTATAGTAAGTGTAAACTAGCAGACCCTATGTTCTGTTTTGATGAAAGACTGTTTCTTGCGTTTCTACCTTTAATATAGTAACATGCAGCTTTCCAGAAGCTGAATATGCTTTTACTATCTAACATGTATGATGAAAAGAAAGAAAATGTCACTTTAGTAACAAAGACTCTGTGGATCACATGAATATAGCTACAAAGAAAAGGTTGACATGGGAGAAACCTACACATCTCTGAATCTCTCACCTAAAAATACAGGTGTAGGCTCTAGGTGTTTGAAAATTGGTCAAACTAATAATGTAAGTTTATCTTTCAGATTAATGAGAGACTATGTAAATACTTATTTATAAGTGAAATCACAAATTAGCTGTAGCACTTCAGCTTTTCTGCTTATTTACTTTAGGAAAACATACTGCTGCTCTTGAACTATGTTGCTTTCCTTTCAAGCATTAATGATTTGGAGATTTTCTCTTCAGTGTCTTAGTCTTTAAAGAAGTGCTTCTCTTTTTGCAGAGGGAAATGCGTGGAAGTATTACGTTTAAGATTGTGCCAAGTTATCGCACGCAATCTTCATCCTGTGAGGTAATGAATTTAATGAACCATCCCATTTCTTCCTCAGTCCTGTAACTAACTGCCTGCTGATGGCTGAATGTTACTGCTTTCTGGGAAATTGTTTCTGCCTGTCCTGTTAGATCACGCACACCAATTTTACAACAAAGATAACGGAACACGAGTAGGTCCCACCTACCTACTCAACCCCAGCTCATATTCATCTCATCAGCACCTTAACTAACTCTTTACAGCCTATTAAAAAAATACAGGAAAGGGGATCCTCAACTCATGCATTTAGGACGCCCCTTTAAAAAATTATACTTTAAACGCATTCTCCAGGAAGTCTATTAAAGTTCCTAAGCTGAGCAACAATCCTCCTTTTTTTTTAGGTATTAAAACATTATTTTACTACCTTGGGCTGTTAAGGGTTAATTGAAAAATCTGTTTCTGTATAACCCTGTTGAGGTAAATTTGTGATGGTTGTCTGTAACAGTTACATGTGGCTTAATATTATGTTTCCATGAAAAAATGGTATTTGTCATTACAGAAGAAAACCAGATTTGGAGTTAGTTCTTGTTGAATTAGAAAGTTGGTATTATGATTTTTGCACAGTAACATTTAATTCCCTTCTGCTCACAAAGTTATGTTCCAGATTTCAACTGAAGGGAATTAAATTCTAGAAAATGGCTACTTTAGAGATACTGTTCCAATTAAAGAATACAGATGGCATATGCACCATGTAGATGATGCCAGTCTTTTTGTGCCACATGCTTAACTGCGCAAACAGTTCCCAAATTAGAATTCTGTGAGTGAAATCACAATCCCCGTTGAAGTCAAGCACCCTTAATTAGAGCTGCGATTTCAACCTAATTGTTTTTGTGTCTTAGCAGATGCTAGAATACACAGAAACTGCTATTGTGATTGTCAGACCAATCTGTTTGCAAGGAAAAAAGCACTGCTTTTTAGTTGCCTTCTGTACTTCTAATGGAAGTCAACAAGAAATAAAAGGTTTTAGAGGTAGAAGGTTTGACAAATTTTCACCTGTGAGGCTGATTTTTTTTGAAAAGATACAGATATGAAAGCAACAGTTTTTCATTAAATGCAAAGTCTTTAAAAAAACTCAAATAGAAATTCTAGAGTGTGCTGACAAATGTATGTATCAACTACTGCCCTGTAAATAGCAGTAATAATAATATATAATGTCTCACTTCCCAATATTAAAATACAGGAACTGGTGAAACTATAGACCTGCTGGGAAGACGATTATTTGGGAGAAATAGTTCAGTAAACAGCTTTAAATTACTACCATTAGATGTAATTTTAGTAGTAGAAGGTCATCTCTTTTCCTTAGGTTTGTGTCCTTATGTTCTTCATGACTGCTTATTTCACAGAAGAAAGGAAAATGGGCTCTTACCTTCCTTTGGAAAAAACAGCAAAACTAGAAATGTGTTATCAAAGATGGAGGAAAAAAATAAGCATGTCTAATTATCACACTTTGTGGCATTTAGCATTCCTTTAATCAGAGGTGGCTGAGTCTGTTGCAACTGCTCAGTCATACTATGACTTTTGCTAGATTGTCAACTCTTACAAGTGTACCAGAAAGCCAGCATTTAAAAATCGTTCTGTTAAAGCATCATGAGTCCTTTGGTACAGAGAGAATTTTTTCACAGAATTTTTCAGGATTGTGATTCAGAGTTAAATCAAATTCTTAATCCCTGATAAAGCCTAAAAATTAAGGTTGAATGACATTATGAAGACACAGAAAGCTTGCTTCTCATGCTCTAGCAGGATAAATTCAGAGATACCGGGTCTCCACTAGTATAATCTTACAAGTTAAGGTAATTTTTGGCAGTATTTCAGTATAAATTTATGTTTGGTTCCCTCCCTGCCTTCAGTCATGGACTGGTGCTCATGTAGTATAGGTTTACCAGAAGAACACTATAAAACAGAATCAATAACTGGATTGGTTTTTTTTTGAGGCTCCTACCATGATCACATAATTGGATTGCAAAACGTCTTGTTAATCTTGACTAAGAAATCCTATGTGTTAGTAGAATCAGAGGTGATCTGCCTTTTATACAAAATCTGTGTATATGTCTGTATATACAAAGGTGAGAGGGGGTGCAGGATGTTATTTTTTTAAATAACTGAGATTTGCATTTCACTTGCTTTCTTTTATTTCTTTTGTAGGCATTTAAGAGAAGTCTTGTAGTGGCATTCTCTAAATATTAAGCCACTTTTGCATATTTAGGGAAGTCTTGTCTCTATAGTATGCAATGGTACTTCAGCATCATTAGGCACTTTCCAAAATCTCAACTGAATAATTTTAAGTTTCTTAGGGATTTGTGGCTTTTTATGCACCCATGCCTTCCATTCAGTTACCAGGCCTTCTATTTTGTGGAGTAGATCTTGCCTGAAAACATAATGCTTATGAATTTGCTTGTATAAAAATTTGATCAGCTTATCTACTCTGAGATGACCTGTTCAGTCATTGGTGTGGCAGATGGCCTGTGTTACTCAGATATCTAGATAACACCGTGGCCAGGATGTTGTGTTTTCTGCTTCAGATACCCAGGAAATTACAGACTTACATAAATATGAACTTAAGTAATTATTGCAACACATTTTTCTTACGGCTGATGACTGCGTATGCCATTCATATATTTCAGCTTTATCCAACCAAGTAAGCATTTTGCTCTAATTACATTTGCATTCTTACTTTGTACTGACAAAACACCCCGAGTAACTTTTTGTAGTGTCAGGTATGTGAGAATGATAAGGGAAGTACTTTTAAAATATTTAATTAATTATTTATTTAGTTTTACAAATAAACTTTTCTTATAAACATCCTTTATGTTTCAGATTGTCCTTGTGAAACACTTAAGTGGTTTCATTAAGAAGAAAAGCCTTCATATATATGATTATGATATTTTTAAAATCTGATGGTAATCACCTTGGATTTTTTCCTTAAATCTTGCAGTGTTTCCATTAGTGTAGCAGAAGTATACAGACCTACATATTTTGAGCCACAATGATTTTACAGCCCTAGTACTGTCAGAGCTGTCCTCAACTGTGTTAAAAACAAAGCAAGCATTTAGATAACTACTTATGGAACTTTCTGTGAAATCATACCGAATGAGGCCACAAAAAAGTGCAGAAGTTCTACAAGAGTTTGTTGCACATCAGGCCTACAGGCAGCAACAGGGATATAGTATTGTCTGTAATTTTAACTTTTCTTGATGCTTTAAAATAGCTATCAGTGCCGTCATATAATTAGTATAAGTTTGAGAATATTTAGTTGAAAACCTTTACCTGATTAATGTTGCATGAACAGTTTAGCTCCGATTCTGGTTTTTAATTTGGTCACAAGGGGCACTTGTATTGATAAAATGTGACATGGATAACTTTATTTTTTGGAAAACTGCTTTTGCCCTTTTTTTCTACTATCCTTGATGTTATATGAAATTACCAGACATTCCTAAATTGACCTTTGACATGGAATATTATATTGCAAAATCCCTTTGGGGGTAAAGGGTTTGTTTTTTTCACAATTACTCTATTGTGAAATTATTCTGTTTTCTGAAGAGGTGACTCAGTTGCCTGATCTTATGGAATTAAATAGTCTATAACCAAAATGGCATGTGAAAGAGATCATTCTACAAATGACATCCTTGCCTTTGCAAAATGCAGTCAGAAAATCCTATTATCCTTTCTGTAGAATTTCCCGGTATGCACCATGCATTTGCTGTCTCCTCACTGAAGTCTAGGGCCACACTGGTAGTCTGAATCAAGAGGTGGCTTTTTTAAAGTGGTATATTTTGGCAAGGTTCAATATTTATAAGCCCATAAGAATTTTGGAGGAAAAAAAACACCTCAGTGTGCTGTAAAGTGGATGAGGAAGGAGAAGAGTGTCCAACTTCCTTCTCAGGTGTTACCTTCAGTGTCTTTGAGGCACTGCAGAGAGATGCATCTTGCAGAGCAGAAACTAGTCATCACTGACCTCCAGCACATAGCTGAAAAAAGATTTACAATCGTCTTTAAAATGGAATATGTGCCTCATTCTATTCAAAGTATTATTCAGCATATAACTTTCAGGTAATTACCTTTAACAAAGACAGCAGTGTGACTAATGGCCTTTAGCATTGTCAGCCACATGAGATCTAAGAGGTCCCAGGCACTCAGTAATTAAAAAGCTATTTAATTGCTAAGGCAATATAAAAATAGTTATTACCTAAGATACATCAAAATGTCAAATCTGAATCTTAAACTATGGAAAAACTTTTCAGATCTACAGAGTTTGTAGTGTGGAAACTTTCACAGATGAAACAGCTAAGCAAATGGTTATAAGGCTGTGGATGTAACTGTTCTTTGAAATATATCTGTGTTCCTGTGATAGTGTTGTGTTGTTAATGAACCTTGTGTCTTATTTCAGAGAGATTCCCCCTCTACATCCAGACAGTCCCCAGCTAATGGTCATAGCAGCACTAACAATTCTGTTTCGGTAAGATTTCTAGTTCCACACAGAGAAAGTGTGAAAGTTTTGTTGGTGCTCATCTGCCATTACTGTTATACTTATCGTGTGGTCAGTGGAAAATTTTGTCCTGCTGATAGAACCAAGGTTATTACATACGTAACTCCCCATTTTCTTTTCTAAGGGTTTTTTCCAACGTATTCTCATTAAAAGCCATATAGTGAATTAAACGTTAATAACTGTCATGTGACATGTCAATCATCCTTAAATCATTGTTATCATTTTCCTCAAAACTAAGCAAAGGCTTAAAGTGGAAGGTTTATTTCCATCCTGAACTTTGGAAGCAGTGTTTGAAGAAAGAATAACTGTGCAGTTGCTATTTCAAGACATTTTAGACTCTTAAGTTTTGTGTTTTGAGAGACCTCTAGGACATGTACTGGTTTCCGCTATCTGAGTTAATGAATTGGTGTGCCCTCTGCTGTTGTGGTACATGCACATACTTTTGTGAAATATGAGCCTTGCCTGGAAAGCAAAAGGAAGCGGCTTTAAACTGCACTACAAACCAAGCTATTACCATCACATCTTTAACACAAAGTACTTCTGTTGCATATGTATTCAGGTAGAAAGGTGCTGTTGATCTCCTGTTTTTTCTAAAGTATATCAATGTTACAATTTGTGTTGTTTATCATTTGTCATTGTTTGGACCACTGTAGTAACTGTACATGCAAGTTCCTTCTGTAAGAGTGCTGTCAATATCATGAGTTCATGGGACTAGCTAAAAAAAAACCAAAACAGAGTAACTACTCCTTTAACTATTAAAAAAGTTACAACTTAGAAATTATTTGCCATGAGGTAAAGTGCTTATTAATTAATACAATGAAAAATAATTGTGGATGAAAAATTTAAGACATTTTTGTGAATTAAATTGAATTAGTAGAGCAATTAGTAATTATAAACTTATTCCTCAGTACAATTAATTGGATTGCACATTTTTAATAATACTTTTTATAATAGTTATAATAGTCATCCTTCTCTTTTAAAAACAAGACTTAAGTATTAAGTGGAAAAGGCATTCACATAAAGAGCCTCTTTCACTTGACAGTGCTTTTGTGTTGAAGATGCTGAATTATTTAATAAAAAGCACATTCTCTATCTGCTTAAACTTTTTACCTGCTTTCTTCAGCTTGCTGCTAAACAGCCTGAGTTTGATTTTTCTTTAAGAAAAAAACATTTCTAAACATGGGTCAATGCTTTATACTTTTGTCTGACTTACCATTTTACTGTAATGTAGTATGAATCACTAACAAATGGTGTTGTATACCCTTAAAAAGTAAAATGAAAATTTCTTCTCCTGGGTTGACTTTATTCTGCAGGACTTGCCATCGACAACACAACCAAAAGGACGACAGGTGAATAGATATCCTCCATGGGAATTTCTGTAAACTTAGCTGCTAGTGAACATCCCTGCTTATCTTTCCCCACCCCTCATATCCTGTTTGTGCTGGACTAAAACATTTAAGCTTGGAAAATTAGTTTCATTTTTTTCATTTTTCTTTTTAACTCATTTGTGGCTAATTCAAAACAGCATTTTTTTAATGTGTCCATGTGTGAGAGTTTTACAAAGTCACTGTAAATTTAACTGCACGTGTTGTTTTAGTTCAGAATGCATTAATAGACTTACTGCTGTGCAGTGACCTGTGCAGATTTTCATCTTAGAGGAAAGCTCAAATTTATATTTCAGCTTAAGTGGAGACTAGTATGGCAAGTGTCTAATACTCTAAAATATTATATTGACAAAGATTTTAAAGCTTGAGTTGTTCTATAATTATCAACATTAACAAAGCTCTTAAAAAAAAATTAAACCATAAGGACAGTTTCTATCAGAAGCTGATAAGTCTGAAGATAGCCTCTTACATTTTCAGTCCTAAGACCCAGAGTCAGTAACCTCCCTTAAAATTGTTACCTTGATGTTAGTACATGTCATCGTGGACCACAGAAAGATATTCCCTCTCCAGAGAATTCCAAGAAAGCCCTTAAGGGCTCTGCAGAGGATTCCCTATGATTCCCTTTGCAGCTTTAAGATTTTTTTTTTTTTTTTTTACTGCAGCCTCCAGACCAACACATACCATCAAGTGATTTGTGATTCATCTTCAGTAACTTCTCCACTTATATATAGCCCTTCCACAATCTGCCTCTGAATCTTAACTGTGGACTCAACCTCTTACTCTGCAAAGAGATTTAATAACTCTTGCAATTCCATTCAGAAGAACCAATGGACTCCATGATCTCTGTGTTGTCTTTGACAGTCCTTTTATGCTACTGTCTGGTTGAGTTGGCTGGGATATCTATTACAAGGATGGATTGCTCTCACTTCATGTCCCATTTTAAAGCTTACAGCTATATAGTTTCTTTAACTTTCTGTGGTCTTCTGATGTTTCCAGCTGCCTGAATGTAGTCCTGGAAAGGCTCCATGAAAGACTTTACAAGCTGTTGTGCTGGGTTTTGTTTTCCTCTCCTAAGGTATTTTTCCCAAGAGAGGAGATTTTGTTCAAGGCAATATTGGAATAATGGTGTTCCTTGTATTCACACCATTTATAGTTACCTGTTTTTTTCAAGAGTCTTTTCCCATTGAACCAGCATATCTTTTCACATAGCTTGTTGTTCTTGAAGACAGTAAAGGCTTGGATAAGAGGTAGATTACTATCTGTAAGAGAGTCTGTAAGATTTCACAAACAGCCAATATATGGTGGATAATGGCTCAAACTGGAGCAGGGACCTGAAAAACAAGGAAGTTTCTAGATGTAAAAGTACTGCTTACTTTTCTAGACTTATGTTAGATAAGGTTGAGGTGTAGTAAGGGATTGGTTCAATACTGATTATTTCATAGAAAGCAAATTACTAAATAAACATAGTTGGTTTCAAAATATTTCAGGTCATTAAAAGAAGTTGCATTGCTTGTCTAAACTCACACATGCAATGCACAGCAGAACAAGGCTCACATTTAGGATATTAAAATATGCATTCTATATTGGTATGACCATCTGATGCTTTCACTGTAAACAGATAAAAATGCAGTACAACATAGTGATTAGCCATTTTAACGTAATTTATTCAACTGTTGGGTTGCACATTGGATTACTGTAGGAATGAACTTTTTAAAGTGCCATGAATAGTGCTAACACTGCATAGTTACAGCTATTTTTGGAGCAAAATTTGAACAAAGTTGGAAAGTGTTTCTTACAGTGTAAATGAAAGATATTACTTTTAATGTGATTTTAAAAAAACAAAAATCCAGCCTATTTTTAGTAAGGAAATCAACAGTAGAATATACTTGGGTGTCTGTGATGCTATGGGGTAGTCTTTGAAGTTCATAAATTGTACAGATCACCCATCTTGGACGTGACATTTAATTCTGATTTTAAGATCCTTGAGTGCATCAAGGCTGTAATTGGCAACCAAAACTGGAGGTCAATTTATTTTTATTTTCCAGGATTGAGACCTCACTAAGACAGAAAGCAAGGATTGGTATATTATTTTAAACTGTGAAGTCAGAATCTAAATTCTTTCTGTTAATGTTTCTTAGGGAATAATTTGCTCAAATTGTTAGTTTTCATTTATACAGGATTAGACTTTTACTGAAAAACCCATGGAAAGAATTACCAATATTCCTTCTAACTAACTACATTTTGCAACACAAGAATTCCTATTTGATCTAAAAAGAAAGGTACTGAATTTTCAGTCTAAATACTAAAGATCAGTAAGGGAGCCAAAGTCCTTTATGCTGTCCAATAAAACTTCCTGTCACACAAATTTTTAAAGCTTATCATGAGACTTCAGTTGGCAAATACAGCACAGTTCAAGTTGTAAGCTGCTGACTTTTAGTCTTTAATGATTCCTGAGAGTTGATTTGAGGGACTCTCAGTTTATTACATGTGTTTATTTTTGGTGTTCAATTTTTAAAGTATGTAAAAGGCATGAGCTTTCAAAATAACATCAGATGTCTCCATGGTTTGCTAGGGGTTTTTTTCTGTTTCATTTTCAGCTATCACTTATGCTTTTGCCATTCTGTTTCTTCCTTTGCTTGTTGCAAACAGTATGTGTAGATAGATGCACACATCAAATATTCATGTTACTCTTAATACTGTACTAGTAATAATACAGCAGTGTCTCTTATAAACTCTTTTTTTATAGATATATGTAAGAGCACAATTTGAATATGATCCAGCAAAGGATGACCTCATTCCTTGCAAAGAAGCTGGCATCAGATTCCGAGTTGGTGATATTATCCAAATCATTAGCAAAGATGATCACAACTGGTGGCAGGGTAAACTTGAGAACTCCAAAAATGGTACTGCAGGTCTTATTCCTTCTCCTGAACTTCAAGAATGGTATGACTTAGGTTTTCTGTAAAAATTAATTTAGCTTTGCTTTTATTTCTGTCTTCCATGCTTTTTGTTGTTGTATAGCTAGTTTTTGTATCTTTTTTCTTTTTCTTTTTTTTTTTAGGAAAAAAAGTCTACTTATTACCTCAGTTTGTGTGACATTGATTTTCTTTCTCATGTATGCATAGCAGTAAGGGTTGCATGCAATATCATATGGGTGGTTACATTAGGAAAATAAACACCTGTTAGTAAACATCATTTGAACTTTGATTCAGTGATGTTCAAATATTTTAAATGTATCAGGACAAACTCTGGCAAGCAAGTACTGAGCCATGAATGTTATGGCCTAACACAAGAAAGTTTATCAATGTGGATAATCTAGCCCAAAATATTTCACACAAGATTTACTACGTAAAATAATTAGAGTGCTGTGGAGGGTTTAACAGCACCTGTGCCACCTGGACTTGCTAAGAGAGATTTTGCTAGAAGAGAAACTGAGGTAGACAGACATTTCAATTCATCTTAAGAGCTCCCTTGCAAGCCCTGACATTTGAGAGACATGGGAGACATTGGTATTCACTGCAGCAGGAACACTTGCAATACTTCACCCTGAAGATCAACCTTAAAACAGTTTCACAACAAACACAACTTGCTCTGAAGTAATTTAAACCATCACCGTCTTTTCAGACCTCATGCTGTTCCAGTCTAATCTGCTGCAAGTGGTCTGCAGCCATTTCAGTAGCTACCCTTCCTCACATGCTCATGATCTGTGAGCTTTAATGATGAATTAAACTATGAATTCTTTATATCAAAATACCTCTGTATGTAAGCACTTCTAAGTCATCAAAAAAAAAGCTTTGAAAAGTTTTACTGTGCTCTTCTCTTGTACTATTAAAAAGTCTTATTTTCCTAATTCATACTGTGTGGCTTTTAAAAAATACATTGATTAAAACAAAAAAAATTTTTCTCCTCCCTATACCAGGCGAGTTGCTTGTATTGCCATGGAGAAGACCAAACAGGAGCAACAGGCCAGCTGTACTTGGTTTGGAAAGAAAAAAAAGCAGTACAAAGACAAATATTTGGCAAAGCACAATGCAGGTATGAAAAAAAACCAACCCAAGCATCTTTAACAGGTTAATTTTTTTGCAATCTAAACCTTGCCATTAATTGTTCCCCTGGCACTGTTATATAAACCTAGTGAGTTACTTGGGAAAATACAAAATTCTAATTATGTCAACATTATTCTGCTTGTTCTTTGCTATTTAAACATGTAGCTTCATCAGTGAGAGGCAAGCTGCAACAAAATAAATGCATTGTAATATATCCTAATATAGGCTTACATTGGTTTGGGTTTTATTTTTAAAGGAGCAGTAGAAACCAAGAGGATATGAATTTCGCAATCTATATAATTATCCTGTGCTCTTCAGAAAACTTCTCAGTAGCATCCTTGTTACTACGTGGTTTTTAGTATAGATTATAAACATCATAACATAATGAAAGGGCATTTTTCTTGAAGCCTTACAGCTGAAAGTGGAGTAAGAGCCATAGCATAGTCAGTGTGTTATTTACAGGTACCAAATAGAACAAACTGTGGACGTTTATCTTCCTTGCAGTGATTTCTGCCTGAATCCTAAGTTTTGGGTTTCTATTTAGACAGCTGAAAAGTTGAGTTGTTTTAGAAGATATTGGAAGCCTGTAGAATAAGAGATCTTTGCTGAGCAAAATTCATTAGTTTTAGTAGTAAAGAAGGAAGACCTCCTCATTCATGAGCAGAATTTAGTTCTTTTCTTCTTTTAAGGTAAAATACTCAATGTGTTGAAACTGTCTCTATTGCTTTTGCATTGATATAACATACTGTGATCATAAATATGTTGCTGTGGTCTCTTGGGAGATTTGCAGAGATTTTTATTAGACTTAAAAGATATAACTGTCCAAACAGTGTAGTGAAAGTACCTTATATATTGCATTAATTTTGTGGGTTTTTTCATTTTTAGACATACCAATTAAACAATATAAATCTGTATTTTCACATTTCTCCTTACCTGTACAATCTGTGTGCAGTATCAGAGGTCTTAATATATCAGTACTACAGAATTTATATTTACTTCAAAGTCATTTGAAAATGAAATCTAAGAGAGTAAAAAAATAGTAATTGCCATTTATACTTTTTAATTCATCTTCACACTTAAGATTTTCACAGTTAAATATAAAATTACTCATTACCCTGAAAACCTGTCTGGATTGTTTCTAAATAGTTAATTATGAGACAAGTAGAGATTGCAAGCTTTAACTTGATTTTCTTCCTTTTGCTGGTTTGCCATTCTGGTTGTTTTAATGTTTTTACTTCATTGCAGTAGCCCTAAACCATGTTTAACAAAAACAATTGAGATTGAACTGAATTTTATGACTGAAAATCTTTGACAATACTGATTTTAAAGTATTGTCAATTGCTCCCAGCATACATTCCCACAGCATTGCTCCTCCCTTCAGTTGTGCCAGATTAACTTTGTGTGGCCGTGCTGTTAATTGGATTAACTGAAGGACAACTCAACAAAAAACACTTATTCTTCTTCTTTAGGGCAGTTACATTTCTTAATACAGTGCAACTACATAGTTAATGATGTCAATGGGACTAAGCACGGTATGCTACAAAGGAATAAGCAAAGGAAAGAGGATGGCCAGGGAAGGACAAGGAGCAGACAATACTTTAGGAGTAAAACTAGCTCAAAGACTTTGTATCAATGAAATCCCTGAAAAGAAGGTCATCTAGACTATCTTGGTGTAGGGGGGATGATTTGAAGAAGGTTGGTAGCACTTTGAGTGACACAGTTTGCTTGCCACCATCAGTGCTGTTAGTCACTTTACATCAGAGCAGAGTGTTTGCCAAATATTAGAAACACAAACATTAAGGATTATCAAAATGACCATAAAAGAAACTGTTCTTTTCAGAATACCATCTGACACTTCCCCTTCCCCCTAAGAAGTCAAAAAGTTAATGAAAGTGCAGATTGGAATCAAGATTTTTCTTAGAAATGTTTATTGATCTTTGTGTCCTTGAGGTATTAAAGGTGATGCCAGTAATATTCGGGGAAATTATGCCAAATGTAGGATATTAAGAGATTCACTGAAATGCTATGGTGCTCACGTGAGTTTTTTAAGTTTAACTAAGGTGATACTGAATCTCCTTCCTCTGAGCAACTCTCACATCCAATATTATTAGTCAGAAATACGGCAGCACTGGCCTTTGCAAGCTTTCTGTGCCTCTGTCTCAGAATAAAAACCAGATCTTTTCTTTCGTTAGATCCAAAATAAGTATAATTAATTTGGAACTGAGAAGGCTAATCCAGATGTCAAAAAGTTGCTCTTACAAGAAAGTAGAATTTATTTCTCTTATAACTTTGTATAAAGTTCAATAAATCATTTTGCAGTATGCAGTCTATTTGGGCTTCCCTGTTGTTTTTTGTCTTAGGGATAAAACTGAACTAGAGTGCTGAGAAAATGACCTAGTAAAATACTTCATGGTCAACTAAGACTTGTGTGGCTAGCTACTGATTTGACAGCTAAGATTTTGGTGTGATATATATTGGCATATGACTGGAAGTAGAAATGAAATTATTCTCATTCAGACATAGTTTATGAAGTGAACAGGAGAATGTTTCAGTTACTTTAGAATTAAAAACATATACATATATTCTTCTTCACAAGAAAAATATCATCCCGTTTTTCTTTCCTCCATAATTAATATTAGAGTATTGTGTCCTTCAGGAGACAATTTCACAATCGTACATCTTATCATTGTAAAGTCAGTTTTAAACCACAGCCCATGGGGGAAAAAAAAATATTTTTCATTATTAGGTTCACTGACATTTTTATAAATGCTCTAGAGATACACTGCAGTGATATCTAGATATATTTTTTGTTTCTTTTACTGAAATGTTATTGCAGGACTTCATAAAAGAACGCTCTTTAGGACATAGTTGAACTATGCTTCATATTATGTATAATGTAGAAAATTGCCAAGCTTTTACAAAATATGTTTATCATTTCTTGATGTGATTTATTTGCCTTGTGTTTAGACTATTGCATGGTAAAGTTTATTTTGTGCATATACTTTTTATTTTACTAATATATTATGAGCCATATCTCAATGACCCCTGTACATTTTTCATGCTGTCTTACTCCCAATGGCCTCTGTGCATGTAAGTAACCTGTCAAGTGACAATGCCTCTTTATTTGCTTCTTACTGTTTCCTTTCAAGAACTCCTTTTCTTTATTAGCTAGTAACACAGAAGCATTAAAGTTCAGTCTTTAAATGTGCCCTGTATTCCTCATATTTTGTGTATATTAAAAAATTAATCATTTTTCTTTTGCATCTGAAAACCCTACAATCATTAGTTAACTCCATGTAGACTGAGACGCATCTTCTCCATGCTGCTAGTTTGTGATGAAGGCATTAATATGTATAATTTCTGTTGTTTGTTCCTGTCATTTGTATCTAACATAATGTGGTTTTGTTCAAGAAGAAAATAAAGGATTGATTTCTTTAATAATTATTTTTAATGGGAAAAGATACTTGCAGGCCTAGATGGTTAGAAAGGTGTAACTGTTTAACGTGTTGTAGATCTTTAGTCCTTTCTAATATGGAATGAGTTATTAATTGGTTTAAATAGTGTGAAGTTGCAAAAAGGACAGTAGCAAGCATTCCATGTTTGTAGGTTTGTGGAATGGAAGAAAAATATGACTAAACTCTTGCTTGTAATATTTGGGGAAAGGTTGAAAGAGACTCTTCATTATGATGAAATTCAAAATACTTCAAATGGACCAGGAAGTTTTCATATCTGTATCATTTCAAGTTCTTGAAGAGTTGAGTTTGTCAACTGACTAATTTGGAGTTAGACCAAATTGAAGTAGTTGTTACTTTTTCTCTAAGGTAAAAGACTGCCACTGAATTTAAAATCCTGCTCTATAAAAAAATAATTGAAATCCTTTGCTGCTGGGACTTGAGTACAAAGAGCATGTGCTTTCTGGTAGGCTCCACAGTCTTAACTCTGATCTTAGTGGCTGGGGACTTCTGGAGCAAGCAAATTAAAGTTCCCACCACTGCCTACTTTACTGAGGGGTTTTGGATAGAGGGAGAGGGATAAATCTGGACTCATCCTAAAAAATGGGTATAGTTGAGGTGAATACACCAGTTTAAGACTTGGAAGCACTCAAAGATCATGTACTTTAGGTGCAGTCTCTCCTCTCTTCTTTTTATAGCATCCATAAATACAGAACTGAAAACTCTTGTTCGTGACTCTGCTCACAATTACTGATTTGTGTAATCTTTATGAATATAATTAACTGCCTCCTGGCTTGTTTTTTCATTAGAATTCTGCAAGAATTACCACAGAATTTGTGTTATTTGGCACAAGAGGAATAAGGTGTTTTTAATGAACAAAACTTGATTTATCAATCATTATATACCCTAGCAATTGACAGTAGATTGTTAGGCATAATGGAATTCATCCAATTTCGACTACAGTGAAAATTATTTCTGAAATAATACTTTTACAATTTTTCCCTAAATATGGTGGAAGTTCTTTTATGTAATGCCATCACTTTTCGTTAGAATTCTCCATTCTGTCACAAGTTTTAAAAGCATGTCAATTTAACTGGCACCTGTGTTTAAAGAGAACTCTAATTACAATTAATACGGTGATAGTTTTGAAGAATAAATACCACAAAGTATTAACACTTTTCTCTAATACATTAATACGTTTCTCATAGATCTTGTTAAAACACAATTATAGAAGTATCTCTATCTTTAGTGTAAATAGATGTTCTCATATTGTATTCATGTTGGTCACTGTCTACAGATTTTTCTTTAGTATTGCTATTTCTTAGGAATGCAGATGTGAATGGCATGCCATTTTAGCTGATTTTTGTGGTCTGCTGAATACTGCATGAAGGGACATGCGAACTTTCCTGAGCATTTCAGTAGCTTTGTTATTGCTTTTTAATGGTTTTTTAAATTAACACTTGTGTTCAAATTGCATAATGAAATGGTTTTATTTTCCGTAACATATTACTTCGTATTGTAAATCTAAAACTTGCTAAAATTATAATTTGTGGTACAATTAATTATCACCCTCAATTTGCATTTTTTTCTCATCCCTGTGGGTGTTTCTTTTTTGTTTTAGTGTTTGATCAATTAGATCTCGTCACATATGAAGAAGTAGTAAAACTGCCAGCATTCAAAAGGAAAACACTAGTCTTACTAGGTAATTTTGAGTTATTATTCTGAATGTAACAGTATAGTTTTGGACCCCTTCTGGCTGAAAATTTATAATTGATTTTTCTGTTGTGGATTAGGTGCACACGGTGTTGGAAGAAGACACATAAAAAACACACTCATCACAAAACACCCGGACAGATTTGCATACCCCATTCCTCGTAAGTAGCAATGTTCAATGTAGCGCAAAATAGTTTGTAGCATCCTTGACAACATACCCCATGTACTACTACATGTGGTCAGTTCTACTGAGACAAAGCCTATCTTAAAGGTAGAAACAGTGATGGCACTGGGTGTATTTCTTTTGTTGTTTTTTCAGAGGAAAGGGTAGTAAAGAACACTTTTACATTGAATGTTTCTTAGTATTCACAAAACTTCTTGTTAAGCATACTTCTCTCTACCCAAAATGTTTGCTGATTTAGAATAAAGGCTAAAACACTTTTTGCTTTTCCTGTACTAATTTTACGTTAACAGTTCAGGTAAGACTGAAACAGCCATGACGTTTAAAACTGCATATAATTCTCATGAGAAGAAATATAAACTGGATTTAGAGGCACCCTTTAACATGTACCTTATCTGAATGTTTTAAATTACTTTGCACAGCCTAGCCTTGAGGATTGGTATTATACTAAAATAATCTCAAGTTTCCAGAGATGACAGTAAGAAAAAGAAAACACAATTAACTTCACTACTTTCAAGTGGGTTTTTACAAAGAGCACAGGGGTGTTTTCCCTTCCTGACAATCTCTGCCAATACCATGGTGTATCCTCCTACATGATCTCTTGGAGATGCACCCTTTTTTTTTTCCTCAAGCCAGGCATTCTGAAACAAGAGCATCTGGCAGCTAACTCTGTCCACTCTATTTCAGGCTGACTTCAGAAACACCATACATGGCTCAGAAGTAACAGTAATGTCCATTATGCATTAATTTAATGTTCTTTATACCTTGTCAGTGCTTTACTTTAAAATTGAAGTTAATGGTTTTTTTACCTGTAAGGATTTTGTTGTTACTAAAAGTATTATTTTTAAGAACTTATCTGTAAAACTGTTTGAAAGGAGAAAAGGATTAGTTGGCTGCTGATTTAAGTACCTGGGGCTTGCTCACTAAGGAGTTAGACAAAGACCAGTGCCAGCAGAAAGAAAACAAAAAGACCTTGCTATTTTGAAAGCATGAGCCATTAGATCAACCCAGCAGCAATGTGAAACTGCACTGTTTGTCACACTACTGTTTATATCTAGACACTAAAATTCTGGATTAGACACTTTAAAAGTGCGGTGTCAAAAGTATGTAATGTACATTGTGTACCTGTGTTATTCATACAGACAAGATTACATGGGAGAACAGAGTAGTAATCCAGCAAATATGTTCATTCTCTATTACAAAGAACTAAAACAAAAAGTAATAAATGTTTTACAGTATACTTTTCTTCCAGTCTCTCTGAAGTACTAACTGTATAGCTGTGGGGAGGTAGAAGCTGATCTAGTTATTTTATCTTCAAATACCTATTAGAATGGACTAACCTATATGATGATTACCATGTCTTAGATTTTGCCTGCATTAGGTTCCTGCTCTGAAAGCTCTGAAATTGCTTCACTGATTACAGAAGACGACTAAAAACACTAGACTGCAAATTAGGAGGAAACATCAGTATGACATTTAGATGCCTGTTTTAGATGTCATCTGACCTCCAAAATGGTCTCCTTTAACTGCTGTGTTATATCTTGTGTGGATGTTTCAGATTTAAGCATTTAGGGCATTTAAAATAGCACTTTATGCTGGTGTTTAGAGACCCAAATTACTTGCTTATGTTAGTGACATACATAGGTCATATAAAATGTATCACATACACTTTAAGTATTATGGGAACCTGATCTGCCTTTCAATTGACTCTAGGTAATTGGAATTATTCACTCCAAATCTCAAGGATGGATTTTACTGCATTTTCTGCATTTGTTTTACAAAACTATGGTAGAAGTAGGCAGCTTTTGAGATAGGCCTGGATGGGAGTGGAGTTCTAGGGAATGCTTTATGAAGAAATTATCTGCCTACTGAAAGCCTGATCGTAAAGGTCATGTCTTACACAGTGTTACTTAATTAAAAGGATTAGTAGGCCATACATCTCTTACCACATAGATCTGCAGAAGCAATATATTCAAAAAGTATGTTATTGCTAAGTAGCTTTCATCTCTCTTGACAAGTAATCAGGTCCTCAACCACTTTTTAGACTTAACATTTTCACACTTGGAAGAATAAAACCTTATGAGAATTTAAGTAAAAAAAGGAAAATACAGAAACATTTTTGCAAAATAAGAGGATTTGGGAGAAATGCAGAGTATGTAAGTTCAGTAGACTTAGGGCAGCAGTGAGTAGTATAGTGATATTATATGTTTTATATAATCCATTGTTCCTGAGTTTCTTAAAATAATAACTATGATCTGTAATAGTTCTATAGAACTTTTGATCTTTGAAATATGCTAATTAATTCTCAGAACATTGCTAATTAATTCTCAGAACAGTAATAGGTATAATTAAAAATAGAAGATGAGTTCAATTTTTGGATACCTTGTTTGGAATTATGATAAGGTTGTTGGAAGATCTGTTACTAGATTGGGAAGAGATGTGATGTTTCAGATATGTCATCAATATAAATGTGATAGTTGAAAAATATGAGAGGAAATCAGTTTGTGAGGGAATATTAGAAGAAAGATAAGCAAGTGGATATCAGCATGCCTATGGGGAAAAGAGGAACAGATGACCTACAAAATCACCCTCTTGCTGAGGGTATGCTCTGCCCCATCATCCATATCATTAATGAAGGTGTTGAACAGGACTGGGCCTAGTACTGGCCCCTGGGGTGAAATGGAGATGTTAACTGAGTTGTTTAGAAACTATAAAAACTCTGAGATCTGGCCTTTGTTTGCTGTTGAAAGCAGCTGATAGAGTATTACAGTCCTGACCAGGTAAAGGTTATGACCTTCTGTTCTTCCTCTGTTACTTTTTGATTTTTACCTTTTCCACATCCCATCATCTGCTTTTCCCAACACACATCCCCCAGGCTCTTGCTTTTCCCAGCTTCTGTCATTCTGCCTACTCCAAGATCATGCTTCATCGTTCTATACATGATTTGACTGGTTCAGTGAATAAGTATTGATAAACTTAGTACTACTTCTGTATTAAAAATATTTTGTATTTTGCATTCTCAGATACAACCCGACCTCCAAAGAAAGATGAAGAAAATGGAAAAAATTATTACTTCGTTTCACATGACCAAATGATGCAGGATATATCAAACAATGAATATTTGGAATATGGCAGCCATGAGGATGCAATGTATGGGACAAAACTGGAAACAATACGAAAGATCCATGAGCAGGGACTAATTGCAATACTTGATGTAGAACCTCAGGTAAATAATCAGAAGTATATGAAAATAGGATTCATCATAAATCCTCCAGCCTTACTTTATTGAGAGATATTTCTTTTATTGATTACACACTAGATAAGTAATGCATACAGTAATGTGGAACAGAAGTCCTTGAAACACCACAGTATCAATCTGTGAAGTAGAATTTCGGTAGTCGTGGCTAGAAGAACATACAGCAGAAACAGATTCATGTTGCTTGATATGCAACAATGACAGCTTAAAAATCTACTTACAGTCTGAATTCATAATATATTAGTCTCATGTCCAGTGAAATGTAGCAAAACAAGTGATTGTCATTGCTTGCCAGGAGTATTCAGTATTTTCAGAAAATTGTCTTTGATGCTGTATTAGAGAGTACTCTTGTTCCTAACTGACTCTTGGCTCCATATCGCTATTGAGCACAGTCAGAAACATTTGTGGTCAGTCATCAATATTGATCCTGTTTTCACAATGACCAGATCAGTGTTGTACCTTATAAACTCCTTTCTGTGTTGCGATATTAGACTTTTTGGAAGAGGGCTGGAAAGAAAATCAAGCTCTGAAGAAACACTAATAGTTTGTTAATTCATTATATAAAATCTTCAGTGGAAAAATTCTGACGTTTTTCCTTCAAAACATCCACGTAGTCATGGCTTTCAATTCACAAGGATGTCTTTATATGTTTAGTTAAGTGGAACATAATGAATATAGACAAACATGATGTTTATATTATTCTAGCAGAGTGAAAGAAATGGGAGAAAAGACAAATTACAATTGTGGCCAGTGCTGCCTGTTTAAATTTGCTGCCTTCTTTCTTTGTGAATGGATTCAAGAAGATAGAATTCTTTAAGAATTTCATAACAGAAATAAGACACCTGACTAAATTATTTAGAACAGTTCACACAGTATGGTGGTGTGGTGCTGTTCTGAAAAATAAAAGCCCACATTTAACAGTTTTCAGGGAAAGTGGCATTTATAGTTAGTTCAAATGGAGCAGCTGTTAAAAGCAAACTCTCTTGATAAACCTTTTCAACTACCATTATTCAGAAGCATTACAATTCTCAGAAGCCATTTTAATCTTTGTTAGAATATATTTACATTTGGTAACAGCTGCCTTTGCTACACTTCCTCCAACATGTGTCTAGCAAGCCTCTTTCTTAACCAGCTTCCTCATGCATCTATCTCAGCTCATTAAGGCCAGCCTATCTGTGGACTTATTCCTAGTCATCTTACACCACTTGCCTCTTTTCCCTTGGGGCACTCTTAGTTGTGTGAGCTTTCTTGACTTTCACATTTGAGGTTTATCTCTTGCTTAGAGGAGATTGGTTTAGATTATATACATAGGTAGGCTTCAAGCAGCAGAGATGAAAACCTCTTTAGCTTGGGAAAAGGATGGATTTGGGGGTTTTGTTCGCTGTTTTTGTTGTTTGAGTCTTTTTTTTAAACTTTGAAGAAGATGAAGTAGAAGGAGCAAAAAAAGACTGACATTTAGTGGTCTTTCTTTATCTTGTCCATCCATTTTTGTTCAGCTGAGGTATGTTTACTTGCTGTCCTGCATTTCAGTGTAGCTTGGATCTGTACCAAAGTTTCATGTATAGCAGCACTGTGTGTCACTCAGTAAATTATGACTAAGTCAGCTTTTTAATGAACTCTTTTCCACAGATTTTGTTCAGGGGATGGCACGGCATTTACTGCATTAGTGCTATGCTCACCTTTTAAAAACTTCACTATGCTTGCTTTTTAAAATCTTCAAGCCTCTCACATCATATTTTCATTTGTTTCAGAAAATAATAATTAAAAATTGTTGGTAGGTAGAAAAAGTCAGAGAAAAATAACTATATTCTAATCAATATTTATTCTAAATCACAGTTGGCTCTTTTTCCTATTTATGCCATGTCTGAATTTTTTTTACCTGGTGTTAATGATTCGGTTTAAACACAAACAGAATTCTGCACTCTTTGAGCCTGTATGGGAAGAGCTTCTCTGAAAATACTAAAGATTTCATTGTCTCGAAAGCTCACTTTAATTAAGGATTAAGGATTGCTTGACCACCAAAAATGTAAAAAAAATGCAAAAATTTAAGTGTCTGCATTGCTAGTGTCTTGACTCCAGATCAGTTAAAAACAAATGCCAGCAAATCATGAATTTCTATCTTTTGCTTGTGTGACTCAGCTTATTTTACATTGATTGTTGGGGGATTCTTCTAAAGTATCTGATTTTATTTCTATTTTTTTTCACCTAGGCATTGAAGGTCCTGAGAACTGCAGAGTTTGCTCCTTTTGTTGTTTTTATTGCTGCACCTACAATTACCCCAGGCATTAATGAGGTAAGGCATGTTGCAATCTAATGTCCTATCTGAGACAGAATTAAGGATGAGATTCAAATATTGTCTTGGTTTAGATAATTGTTTCCTTGTCTGTAAATGGAGAGGCAGAAAGACAGTTGTGTGACAGCTGTATTAAGTTGATTGAGATGTGTTTACTAACTGATTTTTCTAATTCAAAATATGAACTTAAAGTTGAAGGATCCACAAGATGTATTCCAAAAATACATATTCTTTTATTTAATTCCCTGCCCTAGCTCAAATATCTATTTCCAAATCCTTGACAAATCATTAGCACAAATTACTGAACTCTGAGTTGCAGTGCTAGCACTAGGTTACAGCTGGCCTGAACTGCAGAAATGGTCTGTGTGACTATGCTGTCATCCCACCTTTATCTTTCAGTAGTTTTTCTATACAGCAAATATATAGCAGATATAAGCTTATTAATTTTGAAGACTGTTCTCTAAGAATTTGAAGCTTTGACCAAAGCGGTGATTGCTTGTGGAATAATGTTAAATATTCATGGGGGTCTGAATTTCCTGCCTAGTTTTTATAAAGTATCTGCTCTGCAGATTGCTGTTTTCAAAGATTCATTTTTCAAGCAATTCTGGATTTATCTTACAACAGGGCAAACACTATTCAGACAAACACTTTATCTGCTCAGCCTTTTTAAACCATGATATTAAAGTATTTAATCAATTGAATTTGACCATGAATTTGTTCCAAATCTCCTAGATGTCGCCTTGATCATGTAAAAATAAACTCAGAAGCCCTGTCTCTACAGCCTGTTTCTATAGAAATGTAATTGAAGTATGAAACTATGACATTACTGCAGAGACTTGCAGGAAAATAAGGAACAAGACAAACATATTTAAATGCAAATACCCTGAACAATTATTAAAATAGCAACTAGAGAGTGAAAAATACTGGCCTTGAGCTGCAATTTTACTGTCAGCTGAGGCATTCCACTAATTCACTGTTGCTGAAGGGAGTCATTCTCTCTTAACTTGCTTCTGGGACATACACTGCCAGTCTGCGCTGGCATTGGCACTTACCAGATCCTTTTGTGAGCTACTTTAGCTCTAAGTTGGGTGTTGGTCAGTTTTGAAGCAGCTCACAAGGGCTCTGACAAACACCAATGCCAGCACAAGCATAGGAATGCCAGGAAGAGAGATGGGAGGGAGAAGGATCTTTCAACTTTCACAGCAGTAAGTTATGTCATTTCAGTGTATCTTATGGCCCCGTACCCTAACTGATAAATGTCACAATTCTAAGATCTCTCAGAACATCACAATTTGTAGTGTCAGTGAAGTGACAGTTTGTCTGATTGCTGCTGGTGGTGTATGCTGTAAATCAGTATGATCTTGAGAAAATACTAAGATTTTATATACTGAATTTGCCTTTGTGTAGGCAAATGGCATGGCATCACTTATAAAATAATTAGAATTATTGTTAGGATGTGTCAGGCAAGCGTTTTGCTTACAGCAGCGCTCAGGCAGCCAGGTACCCTGTGAAATTCTGTAATTGCCAGAGTTTGTTGCCTCTATACCTGTGTCTCAGCTCCCAAATGGTCTTCCTTGGTCTCCCCCATCTGGCAGTGGTACTTAACTTTTAGTCTTCCAGCTGCAGGATATAATGCAGAGACATTTGGGACAGTTCATATGAGGGAGAAAATGTTTTCCATGGTACACTGGGAAGAGGACAGAAATGTACTTTCTATAGTAGTGGTGAGGAAATATTTATTCATGTCACAGTATTTAGTAGTAGTAGTAAAGTATTATTTTCTAAATATTTGCATTCATGCTGTAAGAATGTCTTTATTTTAAGCTCTAAAAGTCTCTGTGCATGCAGGGATTCACTCAGGCACGTGAATTGCTGAACTGAGGCCACACTTATAAAGTATGCTAATTTATGAATCAGTTAAAGAAAGGGAGGGGCAGAAAATATTAATAGCAGCAGACCTTACCCAAATACAGGATCCTGTTTTCCAAGGTTTACTGGACTGCATGAAGGGAGATATGCAAATTGTGTCTGTGTGCTAGCAGCCTGCAAGACAGCAAAAAAGAGTGGAGAGCGCGTGTTTCATATTTCCCATTCATGCTTCCTTTTTGAAAGATTCATTTGCATAATGAGTATCCCTTTCTGTTTATCCTCTTATCCTGCTGTATTTATTTATTTACACTTTTTGAGAACACTTCTGTAAATGACTGTCCTTTTCTCCCCTTATGTTTTCTTATATTTCATCTTTGCTTTTCTTTTCATTTTCCTGCACTCGTACTAATTGTACATAGCTGCCAAAATGGTGCAGAAAATTGCCTGTAAGTACCAGCTAGGGGCTGACAAGGTAGTTCTGGTTATTTCAGTAGTTTTAGAATGTAGATATGCTTGTTTGCATTCAACATTACTTTCTCCATTGGAATAAAAAAATAATGTAACAATGACTTCAGATATCTGCACTAAAATTATCTGCTAGGAAAAAGAAACTAGAGGGCAAAATTTCTACTCTTACAGCTGCACATCTGAACTTTGTGGTAAAATCAGTGCAGAGGCCTGATCTTCAAAGTATCTCTCTTGAGTCATGTTAGCCTATCACAGACCACACAAAATATCTCAGTAACCAAGGTCCACACAGCAAGAGTTAGGAGGCAAAATGTTATGCTTTTCAACTGAATACAGCAGTGCACTACGAGCAGTTCTGCAAAACACAAAACCAGTTTAAATCATATAGGAAATCTCCCAGAGCGTACCCACCTGTCTAATCACAAAGGAAACTTAATTCAGATTAGTGCTGTGCTAACACAGAGAGAGGAGCGAGCGTATGAGGTGATATTGGAGTAGTTTCTCTTTCCTCCACCTGTTTTCTGCCTCCCATTGCCCAGAAAGCAGCAAAGAGGAGTTGACAGGCTCCACTTTTTTGATCTAAATCTTTACTGAGCCAAATTCGTCTGAATTTTAGCTATGCTTCCTCCCTTCCTACAGCCAAAGAATAAAAGGAATTTTTCTTAAGACGTTTGCAGTCTATCAGTTGTTTAAATTGAGGAGAATTTCTTTCTGTTGGAGCAAAATTGGCAAAGGCCTGATGGTGTGTTTAAACGTTGTTCACAGCCTTAGAAGGGAATATCAGTAATTTGTTAGGCTGTGATTTGACTCTCACAAGTGGCAGCTATTGTCCTATATACTTTAAGGCCAAGAAAACCCAGCCCTCAGAGACTGAAAATCTTGCTAGTGGCCATTATGCATGTGGGAAGGAGTTTATGGATGAAAGCCATGTTTCACTCCTTTCTGTCCCAGCTATGGTGGAGAAGGAGAGACGATAAGGAAAGTGAATTCAATTCTAGTGATAGGAAAGAAAAGTCTGTTCCAATAATGGACACACTGCTGCTCGACCCACCGAAAATGCCTAGTGCATGGGAGCTGAGGGAAGAAGAAAAGACACATGTTCTGCTCCCAAATACAAAATTACTGAAGTTGTGGCCATTAATTTGTCTGTCTGCAGCTAGCTGAACCTTTTTATAAATATCTTCTTTTTTGACAACGTTGAAAGCACAACTGCTGCAGAATATTCTTCTTGGAGAATAATCTGGGATGTTCACTATTCAAAATTTAATTAATAAATTTTAGAGAAAGAGAGAGGAACTTACTGCAGCAACATTTTTTGAGGGTGTTAGCTTCGAAGATGAATTTTGGCATTCAAGACTTGAGGAAACACTCAGCCAAGTCTGAAGTGGTTTGGAATGTACAAATAGATACTCTGTCACAAACACAGGTGAAATTTGGTCCCAAAATAAAACAAAAATCAAGAACTGTAATATCTTTTATTTTTGCAGAACTTGGGAAAGTTTTTAAACTGTCTGAAAACTGCTGCAATGCCCTTTCCCAAGCTTATCCCTTAAGCTTATCCCTTGTACAGAAGTGGACGTGAGGAGTATTTGGCTGACTCCGAATGAAATTTGTAGTGATTATCAAGTGAAGGCAACATCCCCCCTTCATTTGAGGCTTGCAGCTTCAGGAACTGTGACTTTGGTACAGAACTTCTCCTCCAGGAGTGGCTGGTTTCGTAGCTACAGGGAAGGAGAACTGTCTCAGTGCAGGTTTTTCCCATCAGAGGACCTGAAAGCTGCTGTTCCACAGCTACTTGTCACTGTAATTACAGATACTTGGGAAGCTTAAGAAGAAAAAAGAGGAGATGGGGAGTCTATTACCAGCTGGATAAAATTCTGTTCCCAGAATATCTTCTTGTGAAAACAGCTTATAGGCATTGTGTCTGTCCTTCCTGCAGTCAAAAACTCTGTTACAGTAAAGTGTACCCCAGTTGAGTGATCAAGAAGGGTGACACTGTAGATATTACAGAGCAGCAGGAGTCTATACTGTTCATATGTAATTTTGCCCCATATCCACCCCAAACTTGTAGGCAGTAAGGACACGATTACTCTCCTGTGGCTATTTCAAGGTTCCTGAAAGCAGCAAATTTTTTTTTTTTTTTTTTCATTTCTAAGAGAATCTGCAGGAAGATAACCCAAAGTTATAATTGGTGCAGAGCCCTAAAAAGAAGCCTTTTGCAATCCAGCTCTCTCAGAAAGGCAGATCTCCCTAACAAAGCACATCACTGGCTGCACAGTCTGGTAGCACAGATGCACTTGTTTCTGTATGGACACTGACACAAAGCCACACAAGGCACCAGTCTCTGCTGTTGCTGGCCCTTGAGTGTGGGCTGCGTGGTTCATCTTCAGATCTCATGCTAAAAGATGCTGGAAATGGCATTCTCTGAAATAGGAACTGTGGAGTAATGCGGAGTGAGAACTTCCTTATCAGTAAATGCTTGTTAAAGGAAGTAGACCTAGAAGACTGAGTTTGAGCAGTAAAACGTTACCAAAACTGGGAACTGCTGACACCTGACAATATACCCTCTCCTGTTTCTCGTGTTCTTACCTGGACACAGGCCCAATAGCTTGTATTTGTGCACTTTGTATGTTTTATTCATAGATGGTCTCTGTTGCTCCATGTCTCTGCTGCTTTTATAAGTTTCCATCCTCAACCTTGCTTTTTAATTGTAGACTTGTGTTTTGCCTCAAGTAATGTCAATAACTGAGTGCTGTTTGAATGTCAGCTTCAAGAGAAAAATTGTGCTATTTCTCCCGTGTGATTCCCATAGATTTAGGTGCTGGATCTAAACCACCCAGGCCTCCCTCAGGCTTTTTGCCCATTTCCTTCACTGTTAGCCACAGTTAGAAAGCTGTTGTAGAAGCGTACGAAAGGGTCTGACTTCTCTCCCATTTTCTGCCCACTGAACAGGATGAATCTCTTCAGCGCCTACAGAAGGAGTCTGAAATCTTACAGAGAACATATGCACACTACTTTGACCTAACAATTATCAACAACGAAATTGATGAAACCATCAGGCACCTGGAGGAAGCCATCGAGCTTGTGTGTACAGCCTCACAGTGGGTCCCAGTCTCCTGGGTCTACTAGACTGGGAATGAGGGAATTGAAAGAAGAAAAAAATCTGTCATTACTGGGAACCACCTCATACATGGAAAACCTCTTCTTTACTGACCTTGTGTCAACAGGTCTTGGCCCCTAGAGACTACCTAGATGTAGTGTGACCTAAATTTATAATTATTGTCATGTCCAAATAGATAGGAGGAGGGGGGAAGAAAATAACACTAATTTAAAGAGACAGTATCTTTTTTTAATCATTTCTCCTAAACTTTAATAAAATGTATCTTTAAATATGTGTATTATTCAGTCCTTTGGAATGTTATATTTTTGGAAATCATAGCTTTTTATTTCAAGGGCCCCTAAAAACTGCACAAAATAGATGCTGCTTTCTATAATCTATTTTAATAGTAATAATAATATGATTCTGTTACCTTAACTTGGGGGTGGAACACTACATTCTTTTTAGAGTCTGATTTTATGGATTGGAATACTTTGCTTTCCTTTATTTATTTGAAATAATTAGTCTAGCGGTTATGAAAAAAAAATCATAAATTTTAAAGGCCTTTCTTTGCTTCTTTTTTCCTAGGATAGTATTTTTAAGTACTTTTGTGTAACATCCAGATAATGTGATACTGTCTCTTTGAAGAACTCTGTAAAACTTTTAGAAATTTGAAATTGGGTCTTGACTCTTAATGCATGTGGACAGTCGCAAGCGTTCATGCCGTTGGTGTATCTGTGTTGAAAAAAACCTGTAATCTACAGCAAAGTACATTCCGTTCATGGGAACACGTACCCAAGGGAATAAAGTAAACTATTATTCTGACTAAGTTGTAAACCTATGCACATCCCTTGCATTTTGGGCAACTTTATAAAAAAACAAAACTGATTTTTATTAATAATAATCATGTAGTGAAATGTGTTTGTAATTTTGTCTCAATTTAATTTGTTGTAAGGTGGGAGGGGGCAATTACTGGTTTCACCATTTCAGATCTGTGTTGTCTGAGAGTATTAACGTTTTAATTAAGTTTAAGCAAAGAAATGCTGATTTTTAATATGTATGTAATTGTTAAAAAATGCACACATTTTAAAAGAAAATACTGTGCAATGAAGAAACCAGTTTAGGCATTGCGATAAACTGACTATTCCAAAAGACTCATCTGCAACAGCCCTGTAAATTCCTTTAAAAATGGTAATTGACTCTACAGTCTGACCAATTTTTTTTATTTTAAATATACTTCCTTTTATGTGTTCAACAACTAAGTGCTTTTGGGTCCTTCATTTCATCACAGGGAGTTTCAAGAACAAAACAGTGACTCTTGCCATGAGAAAAGCTTCCTTAAAGAATGCTCTGGTAGGGGCACAGCCTGTAGCCTGTTCCAGGAGGTCTGCTCCCACTGTAGGAGCACAGGTTGAACTAATTTAGAATTAGAGCAGACCCAAGAAAGAAAATTTAACCATCTGCTGACCCTGGTGTTTTGTTTCCCTTCTTCATGCTCTCACTGGCCTCGATGGTTTGCATTTTTTTTCCGAAAATGTTTAACAGAAGCAAGCATTGCCACCAAGAGGTGTTCCTTAAAATGATTTCTCCTAAAAGCTTGGTTGGCTGTGCTGTTGTATAGTATGGAGTTTAGTGTTTGTATCGAAATGATACAGTATTCTCAAAGGATTTATCCTCGGAGTTGAACTAGCAGCTGTCATTGATCTGTGGGCTGATCCAGTGTCGTGGGACCACTGCACGTGTCATCAGAAGAGGTTTTCCCAGTTGAACTTTTTTTTTTACCAGAGGGCTAATTATCATTAAGCGCATAGGTTGCTAATTTTCTCTTGCCTACTCCTGCTGCAGGTCGGGTGGTCAGTTCTCTATTCTTGTAAAATACTGAGGTGAAATCTAGGTCCAGTTAGGTGTCCCAGCCAGCCAGGTCAGGCAATGTGTTTATTTTGTGCAGCATTGGCAGCGCAGCTTGCAGCCTGCAGCGCAGAGGGGAATGTGAGCCATCGCTTTACCCACCAGCTGAACCCACTTACACTACAGCTGCAATCACAGTGTTGTGACTGCATCCCAAAACGACTGCCATAACCAAGTCCCTTGAGTATGTAGTTTGTGGAGTGTTGGAAATGAGCCGATGAGAAGCTGTCTGCACGGGCCGCGCGTAAGCAAGCCAGGGACTAAGAGGGGACCTATCAGAATAACAGCGGCTGCTCGTCTCTTCTGAATTCAGCCCCTGTAAAAGGGCACAGGTACAAACTGTGAACTATTTAGCAAATAAGAGGTAATTTTTCAAGTGTTTGTGCCATGTCATTTTAGTCCTGGATGAACCTTAGCAGGTGTTCCTGTAGGTCAGCTGTTGCAGTGGTAGTATTACACGCTGGCTGAGCTCATTGAAGTGACAGGTTCATTCACTCTCCAGACTACCTCTTTTCTCAGTAAAGCACAAAGATGAGAAGACCTACTGAAAATCCAGCAGTGGAATATTTCTGATGTTAGAAATACAAACTTCTTCTCTGCTACGCATTGGTATCTGACTTCACTGATGCATTAATTCATCTCAAATGTTTATGACATTAAACAGGTAAAGTAATTTTGATAATTTGGTACAGTCCACCATAAATGTTTTCACTACACACTTTTGACTCTGTTAATGTGAATTTCTTGGAGTTTCTGTGTATCCAGCCTGTAAGGAAAGAAAACTCTTAAGGCCCATGAGGGTGCTTCTGCCTTATGTAGATGACAGTAAGTAGAGATTTGATGTAACTATTATGCTTTTCTTCTCTTAAATGGAGCTACCATTTAGTTAATATTACACAGTAGAAAGACTAACTTGGAGAGCTTTGGGTCTTTTATTCTCACTGTATAGCCTTTTATCAGGAGACAAAAACTGTATAGCACATCCATTGGCATACTGTCCTGCAGACTGTTTTCCTTATGGGACCCTTCAGTAGCAAAAGGTTAACTTGGGACTCCCCTAGACTTTAAATACAGCTGAACCGGGCAGCCCAGTGAGCCCCACGAACAGTCAGCACAGTCCCAGGAAGCACAGAACAAGCCCAGGACTCCTCAATCTGCCCAATCCACGCCTCCTCTTGCCTCCTGCCCTGCCCAAACCCTTCTGATGTGTCTCCGTTATTTGTGTGGTATGGAGGGGGCAAAAGGCTGCCATAAATTCAGCTGGAAGCTTCACTTGCATAGGGAAGACTCATGCCGGTGCAGAGCTAATGTTGCAATTTTTTTATTTTTTCGATCTCCAAGTAGAGAAGGGTCCTATACTGTAAATATCACTGCATAATTTAGAGCACCTCTTGGACTTCTCTAAATTTATGCTGAATGTGACCTCAGAAGCAGCCCTGGGATTGGGAAGAAACAAATATTTCTGTTAGCCCCTTTTATACTTTATTTTTGTACAAGGGGCTCATAGATTTGTAAAGAAAACACAATCTTATCAGTATGCTGACTCTCAGTCTGACTGATGCCTGTGATTTCAAGGTGTTAAGTTGGTCCAATAAATGTTCATTAACCTCTGCTTCCATTTGCTTAATAAAAGTACACTAGGTTATTCAGTGTCTCAGAGTGGTAAGATTATTGCATGGAAATGGTAACATAGTTCAGACAATCCTGGCCACTCTCAGCACGCAACTATTTAAAATCAGAGGGCCATTTTTAATCTCACCACCAAAACTGAATTCTTCCATATGTTTTAGCACTGGTTTTCTTTTTATTTGATTTGGGTCAAGGAAGATGCTGTGCGACTAGCCTCTAAATGGACATATCATGACCTACTTCAGAAACTTCATTAGCAAGGTTACTGAATTGATTCTGAAAGTACAACATAGAAGATGAGATGTTACAGCCTGAGCAGCACTGAACTGGTTTGTATAGTTCAAGAACTGGATATTGGAGCCATTAGGAAAAGTTAATCACAGACTAACTTCAGTATTTGTTCCATTTTTATTCTTTTCTCTGAGGAAATTATTTTGGAGTGGTATTATTTTAACAGATATTTGGAAAAGCTGCCAAAGCTCACATTGATTTTTTGCAAATCTAGATTGAAATATTAGATGCAAATAGTTCTTGTCCCATTCTCTTCCACTGCAATTAGTTCTCAACGTCTTTGATGAAGGCAGTTAAAACTCAATTTCAGGCTTTAAAGTACTTTGCAGAAGAGGATATGTGAAAACTACAGGAAAAGTACATTTCTCGACTGACTTGAGTAAGAGTCATCTGTTCTTATAAGCTAAACTGACAGTGAGCTAAAGCAGTCACCACAAAAAGTCTGCTTGCTTTATGTAAAGCATATACATTTTCTTAATAAGCCTGTCTCTCAGACCAGTTTCTTCACTTTTGATAAGAGATACCTGTAACTTACCAAGGAGACTGCTGCGCATTATCTCAAAGAGTCACATATAAATTAAAATATCTGCACAACAGGAAATAGATCATAGGTAAGCAGAAGTAACTTCTGAATGATTGTGGCTTGTATGCATGCCATGAGGATGAGAGCACAAGCTGAAGTTAGAGGAGAGTGTATTTTTTCACTCTCCTGAGTGTATTTCAATGTTTACCATAGGTTTATTTTTTCACTTGCTGAGATGCACGGCTAGTGCACCTACAGTAATTTTTACTTAAGTAAAATTTTGGTTTTACTCGAGTGATTTTTAGCAGTCTTCTGCTCCAACCCTGTGAAAGCCAGACTGAAGCAAGGACCAGAAGCTTTTTTATTTCTTCTGATTTAGCTTCAGTTAAAGGCTTTTAATGCCTCTTTCCCAGACCTGCACATTACCTAAATAATTAATTCTTACCTCAGAAATGTTTCCTGTAGCTATAATCTCAGTTAAGATTTTAGACAGAAAATAGATTGCTTTTCATATAATCTTAACCTTTTCTTTCTAAGAAAAAATCAAGGAAGGGGTGTATATGCATGTTCATGCATTCTGCTGTATTGCTTCCTAGCAACTGCCATGGGAAGACGAGCAATAAGCAAATTAAATGTGGCCACATCTCTGCCGTATGTTCTTGTGATTTATATGTAACTTGAGCCTGGTTGTGGAAGATCACTGAACTTATTGCACGCTGTATCATTGGAAGAGTTCATATTGGCAAAGTAATTGCAAATTTTCCCTTATCAGTAGCCATAGCTAATTTCATTTTCATATTAACCAGAGGGAGAAGAGGAGAAGAGAGAGACTGATGGAAGGTTTTGTTAGAATATTTTACCTTAATCAATGGCAAATATTACAGGTTACAACAATGCTACAGCACATAATACTGAATGCTGAAGAATCCGTTCCAGGCTTACAGAGAAATTAAGTTTTCACTTTTCACTGAATTCAACAATTTAAGTTTCTAAGCATCCCCTTACTCTGCCTGATACCCATTCTGTGTACTAGAATGGATATAACAAAAGGAACAGCTCTACATTTAAAGCATAACTCAGTAAAGATTACTATTTAATGAATTAGTAAGGAGTTCTGAAATTATACAGTAGTCGAAAAAGGATAAATTGCACAGGGTTATTTTCTGTTGATTATGAAAACTTTCAGAACTTTTATTTAATGTTAGAAAAAAATACATGCAAATAAACTATAGCGCATTAAAAGCAGATTTGTCTCAAAAACTCACGATTTATCTAATCATAAAATACTCTGGTTTTTTACTTATCAAAATAAGCATTTCAGTAAGGCCTTCAGGGTATTTGTGTTTGTAAGTATCACTTAGGGTATTCTAAGTGTTAGGAAAGGAAGAGGAGAGAGATCCTGCTTCCAGGAAAAGGCCTTGTTGATTTTACCCTTGTTGATTTGTTGCCTTGTTGATTTTAGCAGCTTGAGCAGCTGTCCCTGACCCCAGAAGGGTGTCAGTGCCAGAAGTTTCAGGGTTCCACTCTGTCAATGTTGTCCTGTTAGGATTTGTGATTTTAAATTAGCAGGACTTCAGGTAGAAAAGAAAAAACTTTTGTTTTCCTGTGTGTATATGTTACTGGGCTCCATGTTTTCTCTCTGGCTGCAATTTGTGTACTGACTCATTCAGTGGGATGTTAATTCATTGAATCACAGAATCACAGAATATTAGGAGTTGGAAGGGACCTCGAAAGATCATCCAGTCCAACCCCCCTGCCAGAGCAGGATCACCTAGACTGGGTTGCACAGGAACGCATCCAGGTGGGTTTTGAATGTCTCCAGAGAAGGAGACTCCACAACCTCTCTGGGCAGCCTGTTCCAGTGCTCTGTCACCCTCACAGTAAAGAAGTTTTTCCTCATGTTTGCA